ACATTACTTCACAACTCCTACTCTTTCATTGCAAATCATTCTTCAATTATTCATAGCTTTTGAGAGCCATTTTTTGTGAAGCTTGTGTTGTGTTCTTGAGCGTTCTTAGTTTACTCATTATCCACTCTAAAAGAGAGTATTGTTCTTGAGTGTTTTTAGTGTTCTTAAACACTTGACAAGAGAAGGTATTTCTCTTGTTGTTCGAAGGAAGGGCTTTTTCCTTCGAAGGTTCGTTGAGGTTCGTGTGACTCGAATTATCAAGTTGTACGGGTTTGTTAAGCACCATTAAGCTTAACGAGGTAGTAGTGTAGCCCGAGAGAGTCTTTTGGGAGGCTGGATTAGCCACAAGTTGTGGTGAACCAGGGTAAAATCGGTGTGCCTCTTACTCTTCTCTTTACTTCTCGTTTATTCATTTTTTTTATTCCTGCGATTTTTGATCAAACGCTATTCACCCCCCCTCTAGCGTTAGTCTCTTATTCTAACATATGAGACTGTTACTTCTTGACGAAGGCTATGACTAGAATATCCCTATTTGCACTTTATGATAATACGGACGTCATAACGTATCAAGACTAGTACGTACGAGATGAGATAGTTGCGTCTCATAGACTATAGGTATTGTGATATCTTAATCTGTATGTATGTGCATATTATATTGATAATATGTGACTGGATTGACCCATCTTGAGAATACTGCATGGATCTACAGTAATCTGTTTATCAGTATTCTCAAATCGACCTTGCTATAACTATCCTCAGACTTGAAGTTATTACATTCTCTGATATGTGGGGCCGTATGCTTTGATTCATAACTAATGCTATCTGAAATACTGGTAGACGTACAGTTATGCGTTGGGTATGCCGCTAAGAATATTTAGAGATGTGAATAACAGATACAGGATATGTCCCTTCTACTGTATAGAAGTATAATGTCAATGGGCCCACTGAATAGTAGGACTTGGGAAAGTGCATGGTCATGCCCAGATATGTCGCTATCTAGAGAGTGATAAATATCTGATCCCTGCCAGTCTACTTGAGATTCAGTAATAGCTGATTTAACTATACAAGGATACACATCCCATGTCTTGTGTTAAATCATGACATTTAGGACAGAAGGATAATAGTTATAGAACGTCTTGTGTCGTAGAAGGTATTGATGAGATGAACGTCTTTTTCATAATCTGGGAATAATAATGTGTTGCTAGACACCGCTTATTATCTATGGTATTAATTTATATTAATATCATTGCCAGTGTTATGGATACCTAAAGGGTCACACACTTAGGACTTGTAAGGGAGTAGTATACTACACTAGTGGGAGTAATATTAAATATATAGTTGTGATAATTATATATATATATATATATATATATATATATATATATATATATATGTATGTATGTATGTATTTCGAAAATACATATGTAATTTAAAATTATATTTTGTTTGTGTCATTTTAATTATATGATAATTATATTTTGACAAAACAAATTTTAATATATATATATATATATATGTATGTATGTATGTATGTATGTATGTATGTATTTCGAAAATACATATGTAATTTAAAATTATATTTTGTTTGTGTCATTTTAATTATATGATAATTATATTTTGACAAAACAAATTTTAATATATATATATATATATATATATATATATATATATATATATATATATATAGACACACACACACACATGGTGTTAAGACATATACATGGTGTTCATCATTACTCCGGATGCTGATAATGATGAACCCATATCCATTCCCTTGAAGGAGGCATACGAACACTGCAGAAACACAGGAGTTATATCCATGAGTGACAAACTAAACTGGAATAACACTCAAATTCCTAAGATTAAAATCTTCCTTTGGAAGATGAACAAGGAAATCCTGCCATTTCCAGAGACACTCACTAGATTCCAATACAATCTCCCCTCTCAATGTCCATTATGCAAAAGTCAGGAAGCGAGTCTGAATCACTGTCTCTTGCTATGCAATGATATCAAACCCATCTTGGCTCTACGACAAGATATCAACATCAAACAACATATGGTGGAATGGCAACTTACATTTCATTCAAAGAGTCTTAAGGGCAACCTTCGTCTCGTCACTCCTGGAGTAATAGCTTGGTGCATCTGGAAACATTACGCCTCTATCACTTTCGGGGATGAAAAAATCAATCTGCAATCAATCACAACAGATATCAAATCTCATATCAATCTATGGTTTTGGAAAAATAGAGACAAGGGATGGATGATTACCGATGAGAGCCTATCTTCCCTGGGACTTCAGCTGTTTGATAGGACGAAGAGAAGAATTCCAGACTGAAGGCTGCTTTCTTAATTTTCTGTTCTTATAGTATAGGATTTTTGTCTCTCCACTTTTGGAATTTCTTTTCAGTTTTTTTTCTTTAATCCTTTGGGGCTTTGGTGTAGTCCTCCCCAAACGTGTACTTTTAATCCTTGTAATAAATTCGGTAATAATATATATATATATGTGTGTGTATATATATATATATATATATATATATATATATATATATATATATACACATATATATAGGAAGGGCCGAAATTATATATATATATTATTTTATTTTTCATCATTTTAATTATATGATAATTATTGATGTCAAAAATAAAATATGACATATTTCAAACATGAGATGACCGAAATTTCAAGAGAAAAAATCCAAGACCATTTTGATTTTATACATAAAGTATTTTTTAATGTCAAATTGATATATTTGATTATTATTTGATGTAGGGATTCTATTTTGTTTGGTAGCTAAGATATTAAACATTTACACATGGTGTTAAGACATATACATGGACTTATGCTTAACATTAATTTCCTAGCAATTTCCTAAATATACTTTATTATAAAATGAGGTCTTGATTTTTAATACTTACACCACAACTTTTGGCCATCCCATTTTAGAGAGAAGAAAATTTTATTTTTTGTTCAAAGTTATTTTTCTAAAGTGTTAGAAATATACACAAAATATTTTAAACAAATATTTATAAGATAAATATTTTACTATATATTTATTACACTCAAAGTAGTATTATTATAGTTTTTTATATCCTATATTAAACTTGCTAGCATAAGTTTAATCTTGGACTCCGGAGCAAGTTCGTGTGGATACGTTGGAAGCTTCATACGTTTGGCGCTACGTTCATCTCCTCAAAACCATCCCCGACTGTTCCTCTGTTCTCCGTTTTCACCGTTAAGGTAAATTTCTTACTATAGATAGTAATTTACGTAAGCTGTTCTTGGGTGGAATCGAGTTTTGGACTATAAAATTTTGTTTTCCACTGCGTTATCCAAGCCTCGTTTTCCAACAATGGTATCGGAGCCGGCTTACGAAGTTACTAGTCTAGTAGTTTTTACCATTATTGTTTTTGTAGATTAGTCAATAAATTTTGGAGACAAAAATTTATCTCATTATAAAATTTAATTAGGTGCCATATTTAGATACTGGACCTAATATAATTTTGTTTAGTAATTTTCGGAATTACTGTTTGGGGTATTTTTATATTATTCTTATTAAGAATATTTGACATGTCAATATAACTCAGAAATTTTAAAATCTATTTTTGGAATTAATTTCCTATTTTTCTATTTTTAAATTCGTTTATTGAATAGAAAATAGGAAAAACAATTTTGACAATCAAAAATTCATTTTAATTCAAAATAGGTTGCGACCAGAGATTTTAAGCTTGTATAAAAATTTCATAATTTTTAAGCACGTAAAAGTATTTATTTTGTATTTTTAAAGTAATTGGATCGGTACTATTCACTAGTCCGATTTTTAATTATTTAAAATTTCAAAATTAATATTTTAAATTCTGCAAAAATCATATTCTGGTTCTGGAACTTATTTTTGACTTGGAAAATAAATTTTGATATTTTTGGAATTTCGAAATATATTTTCACAATATAATTTCGGTTTTCTAGCTTTGAAAAATTGTTTTCAAAATTTTAAATTTTATTCATTCTGGAATTTTAGGATTTCCAGATTAATAAAGTTTACAGGGAGTCTCCAATAATTATTTGCTAATTTAGAAAACATATATATATTTAATTCGAAATAAAAGCCCTTTTTCGAATTTAAATATATATAAATACGGTAAATATAAAATATTTTATTTTATGGAATTTAGAAAATCTAATTTCTAACATTCTGGAAATTTAAAGTATTTTATGATTTTAATTAAATTACTTGCTAGTTTAATTAATTTATTGTTGATAGTTTATTCCGTAGAATAGAATAAACTAGGTCTGGGGCGAGCGCGGTTCGCCCGGTGTATGCTTTAATATGTATGATGTGATGCTTATATGTATTATTGCATGGTGGATGATTGTGGCTTAGTTATATTTGTTGTAATTTTAAATACGGCCTGCGTGTCGTGCCTCATCTCTATACTCTGGATGTAATTCTCTACTTTACCTCAAATATTCTTTTCTATCGAAAATTATAAGAAGATAAGAAGACGAAGTCCGTTCGTGATAGAGAATCCTAAGGAAGACGTGACGGGCCGGAGATAGAGATCTCTTGATCAAGGCGCTGTCGTTTGTTTTTCTTTAGGAGCCGCAATCATTTCACGTTTACTTATTATGCATGCGATGTATGATTGAAAGTATGCATGTATGTGATTTTCGCTAGTGCATATGCGCGGTGTATGCCATAGGCAAGAATGCGTAATAAATCCCTCATAATTTTAAGTCTGTGCCACCCCGACGCCCCGTCACTCGTCAAACCCAATTTAGATCGGTAACGGACTCACCCAAGTGAGACGCCCGGTTTACGTTGGTTAGGCGCGAAACTCGTAACTAGGGTACTGACTCGCCCCGGGTTAGTCTTAACTAAGTCTTGGTCATAAGGATGAGAGACTTAGGGCACTGCGGTAGGATCAATAAATAAAATCACATCATCCAACAAGATTTGTAAATTGTTACACTTGGAATTTATTCCTACCAGAAATAATTTAACTGTAGGGCAAGATGCAAAGCACAACTATAGTTAAATGAAATATGGATCTGGCCCAATTAAGAATTTTATTTAAAAGAATCCACCGAACCAAGAGTTGTAATAACGATTGCAATTGGAATGAATTCCTACCTAAATAACTTGACTGCAGCGCAAGATGCAAAGCACAACTATAGTTAAGTAAAATATGGATCTTGGCTCGCTAGGGTATTCTTCAAATAGAAACCCCAAGTCAATAGGTTCCGTACCTGAGGGTAATTGACTTGTTAGAAATAGTGGGAGAGTATTTAATAAAGACCTATTAGATACTTAATTCATGATAATAACTATCTTCGCAAAATTCTGTAGATGGCAAACAACAACAACACAAACAACCTCGCCCTGCATTCCATTCTGGATAAAGATAAATTGAATGGAACAAACTTTGTTGACTAGCAACGCAATCTCTCCATTGTTCTCCGCATGGATGAGAAAGAGTATGTGCTCGAAAAGCCCATTCCTCCTGCCCCTCCCGCTAACGCCCCGAAAGCGGTTAAAGATGCCTACGAGAAACACATTAAGGATGATAACCAGGTTAGCTGTGTCATGCTGGCAACCATGATAACCGAGCTGCAAAAACAGCACGAGGACATGAAGGCCCATGAGATGATCGTGGCCTTGTGGCAGCTATACCAGGGGCAATCCAGGCATGAACGTTTTCTTGTGAGTAAGGCTCTCTTTAGTTGCAAGCTCTCTTCAGGGAACCCGGTCGGTCCACACTTTCTCAAAATGATTGGTTACATAACCAATCTGGAGAAACTTGGGTTCTCCTTGCAGAAGGAGCTGGCAATGGACCTGATCGTGCAGTCGCTCCCTGAGATGTATAAGGGTTTTGTCATGAACTACATGATGCATGATCTTGACAAACCCCTTCCGGAGCTTCTTAAAATGCTCCAGACTGCAGAGGAGAACCTTACTAAGGGCAAGAGTGCTTCCGTCCTTATGGTCCAAGGCGGAAAGGGGAAGCCGAAGAAGGGGATTAAGATTAAGGCTAGGACGGTCATAAAGCCTAAATCGAAGTCCACTTCATCTGCAACCCAGAAACCCGTAGGAGGAGTTGCAAAGGGAAAATGTCATCACTGTGGTAAGGCAGGCCACTGGAGAAGAAACTGCAAGACATACCTCGCAACCAAGAAGAAGGAAGGTACGACCATTTCTTCTGAGGTGTATGTTATAGAAGTTAACATGTCAATATGTTCATAATGGGTACTAGATACTGGATGTGGGTCTCATATCTGTACTACCATGCAGGGACTGAAGCAGAGTAGACGGTTAGCTCGAGGCGAAATTGAACTCCGAGTCGGCAATGGTGCACCTGTTGCAGCTTTGGCAATCGGAACTTATAGTTTAGTCTTGCCTAGTGGTCTAATGTTTGAGTTAAACGATTGCTTGTACGTTCCTGAAATTAGCAGAAACATTATTTCTGTTTCATGTCTTGATAAGAGTGGTTTCATCATTTCTAATGCCAACATGACCAATGGGTTATATGTCCTTGACTTGGACATGCCTGTCTATAACATATCAGCCAAGAGGAACAAACCGAACGGTTTGAACCAAACATACCTATGGCATTGTAGGTTAGGCCATATAAATGAGAAACGCATATCCAAGCTACATCGGTCGGGAATACTAGAGTCATTTGATCTTGAATCATATGACACATGCGAATCTTGTTTATTGGGTAAGATGACCAAATCTCCTTTCACCGGACACAATGAAAGAGCTGGTGATCTTCTGGCACTCATTCATAGTGATGTGTGCGGGCCTTTCAACACAACTGCACGAGGTGGTTATGTAACACCCTAATCCGTCCAGGTCTGCAGCCCCTTTCGGACTAAAGTATTAACTTGGTAATCGTAAAATTTAAAACTTTTCAAACACTTTTATTTATCACGATAATTTTTTTCGTAACATATACAGTGCGGAGTTTTCAATATTGCGGAAGCTTAACAAATCATAACCACAAACATAATTTATTTATATTCTTTAATTCAAAACCATCACATCCATTCCGACTATCTCGCCTCCGTCTGCCTCCAAGATCACGTCATATCATTCTATTGACCTGCGTGTAGCAAATAAAACACACCACACGCTCAGCGCTAAAGCTGAGTAAGCATATCTAATGCGTCGAACATCCACATAAATTGAATCTCAATTCATAATCAACCATTTGATATCATGCACATAATGTTCAGTTTAAATATTCATTATTCAATATTCATCATTCAATATTCAACATTCAACATTCATATTCAATATTCAACATTCATATTCAACAATATTCTTAAACTATTTTAGTCTAAGGCCAATTCCAATCTTAAACTAATTCTAGTTCAAGATATTCTAATCCTTAAGCTAGGCCTAGTTTAAGATATATTTTTTTAAAAAAGAGTTTTCAAATCTTAAACTTACCTTCGCTTAAGGTCAACCAAAAACCGACAGCGTAGTGTTTACTGTTGGGTTGGGTGGTACCCCCAAACGAGTAGGTACTCAAGTTTGGTTCTTGGATCCCGTACGTACGTTTTAACCCTAGCCACCGGGCATCATACCCGCAAGGCCTATTTCTAATCTATCTTAGAGGTCTTCTAGATAGTATTAGAAACCAACATAAAAAGGGATATATCTTAGAGTTCTTCTAGATATCCTTAATAGTTCATCATCAATTTCCAAATGGGTATATCCTAGAGTTCTTCTAGATATCCTTAACAGTACAATTCATCAATCCAAATTATTTCATAATTATCGTTGTATTCATTTCAAATCATAGTTTAAATCATTCACAATAATCATTTTAATCAGTGGGTTCATCATCAATAGTCATACATAACAATAATCATCATAATATTCAATAACAATTAGCGGCCTAGCGTCGAGTGTTAACACCCTAGCTTACCGTCATACATCACGTAAAGTCCTCTTAGTTGTCAAAACATCATTTTTATTTCAAGAGATCATCTTTATTTAATCATAATTTATTGGTATCAAAAAATAAGATTCCATAGTTCCAAAATCATGTTTTCTAAATAATAATTGATTAATATATGATAGGAAATTCAATTATTAGCTATTAGCTTCATTTTCTTCAATAGTGTAGGGAGACAGTCTACTGTCACTTCTGATAATCTACTGTCTAATGTTCAGAATGGGCTAATAATCGATTATCACACTCTGATAATCGATTATAAAACTTCAGAGAGGGCTGACAGTCGATTATCACATTGTGATAATCGACTATTGCTCAACTTTGTTCCAAAAATCTGCAGAACGATGAATAATCGATTTTCAAGTTGATAATCGATTATCCATCGTCTTCTACCTCAAGCCAACTTGCGGAAATGTCACTTTTACTCACCAAACTTTAATTAAAGTATATAAAAGTGTTCTCCAAGGTTCATAGATCATTTTGGCATCATTAATTCATAGTTTTAACATCAAAATCATGGTTTACGAATCTTAGTTCTTCGAGCATGTCAAACACAAAACTCAACCAAATGACAATCTATGAACGTAGAATCGATCTATATGAACATTCTAGTCATTAGATATATCTACGGGCTTACCTCGAAGCTTAATGGAGGTTTTGGAAATTTTGCGGCGAAACTTCCGGCGATGATATCTCTTAACTCCGACGACTTCACACCAAATTGACAACACCACTGCGTTCTCCTCACTCAGAGCAACAGAATAGGACGAAATATTTTGAGAAATGGTGAAGAAATGGTTAAGCTTTGGTAGTCTTATATAGGAAGGAGATGGGGAAAACTTCCAAGCCTGCTGTATCATTCCAATCGACGTATCCTTGTAGTGGAGGATGAGGCACAGTCTCTATAGTGTCCCTGATTGGGACCAATTTTGGTTCCAGTCGGGGTACACTTTTTTGGTCCAACTTTCTCCGAATTGAAATCCGTTTCCATCTTTGTCTGGGAATTCTATCCAACTATATAATTTTTATATTTATTTGAAATACTTTTTCCGACATCATATTTTTGAGTGTTTGACTTTGACAGAGTCAAAATTGGTTTATTTGACCTTTATTCAAAAAGGTTCTCACATTTAATTCATATCATTTTTTCTCATGATTTATTTCAATAAATCATTTTAAAGTTCATATTATAAATAATTCTTTATTTATTCTTGATTTGGGTCTGTACTCATGTTCCCAATCAAGACCACACAAATACTCAACATATTGGATTTATCTCTATGAGACTTATCCTGATTTGTGATATTGGATGTCAAAACACATTTCCTTTCGACCCAAAGCCCAATAACTATTTATTTTAATCGAAACAAATTTGACTAATTGAGTATTTATTCATTAAAAATTTTAGGGTATGTTTTGGGGCGTTACAGGTTATTCATACTTCATCACATTTACTGATGACCTCAGTAGATATGGCTATGTGTATGTCATGAAACACAAGTCAGAATCCTTTGAAATGTTCAAAGAATTCGAGAATGAAGTTGAAAAACAACTTGGCAAAAGTATTAAAACACTACGATCCGATCGAGGTGGAGAATACTTAAGTGGTGAGTTCGATGACTATCTTAGAGAACATGGGATTTTATCCCAACTCACACCTCCTGGGACTCCACAATGGAATGGTGTCTCTGAAAGGAGGAATCGAACCGTGCTTGACATGGTTTGTTCTATGATGGGTCATTCGACTCTACCAGAATCATTCTGGGGGTATGCGCTGAGTACTGCAATATATACTCTTAACCGAGTTCCAACCAAGGCGGTTGAAAGAACACCATACCAGCTATGGACGGGCAAATGCCCGGTTCTGTCACACTTAAAGATTTGGGGTTGTGAGGCTTATGTCAAACGTCTTATGATGAATGGCAAGCTTGACGCCAAGTCTGATAAGTGTTTCTTCGTGGGATACCCAAAGGAAACTCGAGGTATTCATTCTATCACCCTATCGATAAGAAGGTATTCGTTGCTCCAATGGTGTCTTCCTCGAGAAGGAATTTCTCTCCAATGCAACTAGTGGGAGAAAGATAGAGCTCGAAGAAATTTGAGACGACGAAGAAACTACTGCGCCGGTTCAGGAACATGAGCTAGAGGAACAAACTGTTGTACCTAAAAATGCTCAAGATACACAAGAACCCCGTAGGTCTAACCGGTTACGCACACAACCTGAAAGGTTTGGATTCCTCCTAACCTTTGAGGGTGACGTAATGTTTATCAACCATGATGAGCCAGAGACCTACCTCGAGGCAATCAGTTGTCCCGAGGATAAGGAATGGCGTCAAGCCATGCAGTCTGAAATGGATTCCATGTACACCAACAAAGTATGAACTTTGGTTGATGCACCCGAAGGGATCAAACCCATTGTGTAACGCCTCAAAACCCGGCTTCGTATTTTTAATTAATTTATATAATTAATTAGTTACTAAGTCGGTAAAAATGAAGATTATTCTCTAATTTGCGTATTTAATATGAGAGTTGACCTATGTTGTAGGGCTCGTTGTTCTGAACCCGACCGTACAAACGAATTGAGAATCGGACTTGCTGGGCCTAAGATACGAATGCCGAATAAGGTAATTGGGCTTAAATACATCCTGACTGGTTAGGAAGTGTAAACTGGAACCTTAAATTCTATTTAATTTTATATTAAATATGAAGGGGGTTACGAGACTTACCATCCATCTGTTTTTTTTTTCGTTCGTGTCTCTGCTCTGCGTCCGTTCCTCCTTCGTCGTTCCGTCAGCCAGCAGCAGCAGCGCCGAGCTCCGCCGATGCCGCCCTCGCCGAACGCCCTAGCCGCCGTCGCCACTCTTCCTTCCCCGTCGCACGGTAGATTCGGCTGCAACAGGGAGTGCAGCGGCGAGCTTCTCTCTTTCGATTTGGTTCCTAATTCTTCAATAATTCGAGGTGATTCGTGATTCCTATACCTATAGTTGTCATTAATTCGTAGTTTAGGATCTTGTGGTAGCAATTTTGTGTTTGATTGTGAAATTTGTGGTTGAATGTGCATTAGATTGGATTGGGGTTGTGTTGGGGGCTGTTTTCCGGCGATTCGACGGTGGCTGGCCGGTGGTGGCTACGGCCAGCGTACGGGCAGTTTCCGGTGGGTCCAATTTGGAACCAATTGGTTTAATTTGGACCCAATTGGTTAAATCGGGTTAATTCGGGTTTCAATTGGGATTGATTTTTTTGCAAACGGGTCGGTTTAGATTCAATTGGGGCTATCTGGGCAGTTGGGGCTGACCAGGTCGTGGGACCGACTGTCCGGGGTGTTGGGCCGGTGGGTCCGGCTGTTAGGCCGGCTGCATTGGGCCGTTGGGCCGGTTGAGTGGGGCTTCCTGAACGGGCAGCGGGTTGGGGTTGCCGGGTCGGTCCAGTGGGTTGTCGGCTGATCCGGTGGTGAATGATACTGCTCCGGCGGGGGCAGGCGGGCCCGAGGATCGATTCCTTGGTCTCGACTCCGCGCAGGTAAGTTGGGTTAATTGCAATTTGGGTTGTTTGATTATGCATGATGGTAATCGCGGGTCTTTGGCCCGGATAGGCCGCTACGTGACTTGTTGTGAATTGTGAACTGAGATTTAAATTAAATTGATCTTGTTGGTGTATATTGTGGATTATGAATGATAAATAGGAATTATGCCACCTAGTATAATTAGGCAGACCTGAATTGGATTGACTTATTGAATCACCAATAAGATATGCTAGGAAGTGGCCTTTGCGGGGCGTCGTTGCACCCCCGGGGGTCTTGGGTTAAAAACGTACGTACGGAAGTCCGCGTCCTATCCTGGCATCGCAGGGATAGGGGCTTCAACCCGCCCAAAGTGAATCTCCTTTGGGTTTATGAGCTGGCCCTTTTATAGCATCGCTTGGGGTGCCATGACTAAAAGTAGTTGATGTGGAATAAAATAAGGACATGATATTCAAATGAAAGGTGTTAAAATAAATATGTTTATTTAAGCTGTTTTTTTTCTCCGCGATCACATGCTGTTGTTATTTGTATGCTAACGTGGTGCTATTCTGTGAGTTAATGCTAGCTTAGGTATATTTTCACTCAGCAATTCGTTGAGCGTGTAGTCGTTGTTGTTTGACTGCACGCAGGTAGGAACACAGATTTTGATGGGAAACCCGGAGGGCAGTGAGGTGGTGGTGCGGCGTGGATGGCTCCTATTACTTAAATAAATAAACTACATTATTTTATTTGGTTATATGGACTGTTGGACGTTACTTTGGTTTTATTATGCTTCCGCGATGTTTGGACTTGTTTTATTACTCCGATAAATTTTGGCTTGGTTTCGAACTCTCACACATGAATTTTATAATTTATTCAGTTGATTTATTTTTTTTATAAATTATGCATGCGAATACCAATTTAGTAACAACCCGGTTCGCTAACCCGTTGGTTCGGGTTATGCGGGTTGGGGTGTTACATTTTGGTATCGGAGCATATGGTTTTAAATACGATTTTTTTTTGGAGCCACGAATGGTCGTTACTTAAATAAATTCACGTATAACGTTACTTTTGTTTATAAAAAAATGTTATCAATTTCAAAAAAAATGAGAATAATGTTATGAATTTTTTTTTTTTAAAAAGGGAGCTAGTATTTTAACACATATTGTATATACATGTGTTGGGCATCCACAGCTTCACCGCGTCACTGTTCCGGGTGGTAATTTCTTAAGTCCTTGTTTGTTAATTGTTGCTTAATTTAGTAAAATCATAAATTGTAGAATGGATCCGAACGTGAACCTCAACGACAACCACTCCGAGGGAGATAGCGTGTCTCCCCAGCAACTTAATGCGAACCAGAACCAGAATGCCCCTCATCAGGAAGCCCCGCACGGTGGACTTGTTGGGATCCCGCAGATGGATCCTGCTCTCCTGATGCAGCTCATGCAACAAATGCTGATCATGAATCAGAACGCATTGGCTAGGCAGCATGAGCCAAGGATTACTTTGGAGAGATTGAGGAAGAATGGTGCTGAAGAGTTCCTCGGGGAGAACATCGCTGATCCGTTGGTAGCGTTCCGGTGGCTGGAGCGCGTACGCCGCGTGTTCGAGAACTTAAAGGTCCCCGTGGGTGAGTGGGCTGATCTCGCTGGGATGTTGCTGCAGAACAACACGTATGAGTGGTGGAAACGCACCACACGGAATACCGACCACCCTCCCTAGTTGACGTGGGAGTATTTCGATCGCGTGTTCAGGGAGGAGTACATTCCATGAGCCTTCCGGAATACCGGCAGCTCTTTGATCACCTGCAGAGTTTGCTCAAGATTTGGTGAATACTCCAAAGAGACGATGCGATAGATTTGTTAAGGGCATGCGCATGAACCTCCAGGAGGGTATGTCTACGGCGTCCAGGCAAGACTTTGGCGTCATGTATGAGCAGGCTAAGGAGGTGGTCAGGACCCGAGAGGGAGCAAAGCTGGTAGTGGAGCAAAAGGCAAACAAGATGCCGGTTCAGGTAGCCAGTGCTGGTAAGGCCTACTCGGGGAAGAGACCTCTGAGTGGGTCTGGTATTCAGTCGTCCAAGAAAGCCAAGTCAAGACCAGCTCACTCAGTGTCATCCAGCAGCAAGACAAGGCCGTCAAAGCATCCGATGTGTGAATCTTGTGGGAGGAACCATCCAGGGGAGTGTTGGAGGAGTTTAGGGTTGTGCATGGGATGCGGACAGTATGGGCATTACAGGAGGGATTGTCCTACTAATCCTGGTCTTCCGTTCCCCACGGCTGCAGCATCCACTTAGACGACGGCTCCCCGACCTGCCCAGAGTCAGCGTTCGACGGCCGGGTCACAGCCACAGCGACCCCCGCAACAGCGGCAGCCTCAGGCTACACCACATCAGCAGGGCAGGGCTCCAGCGAGGACATACGCTATGCAAGGGCGTGCCGATCCTAATCATGACGTCATACTTGGTATGTTTACACTCTTTGGTTCGGATCTGTTAGCATTGATTGACCCTGGGTCTACACTGTCATATATATGTGTTCCTTTGCCTGCTAATTCTGTTGTCGCGAGAGGTCAGTTGGAGAGTCCGATGCTGGTGTCCAATCCCCTTGGGCACAGTATGAGCCTACATCACGTCTATCGACAATGCCCTTTGACCGCGCGTGGGAAGATCTTTCTCGCAGATCTTATTGAACTTCCATACAAGGAATTTGACATTATCCTTGGAATGGATTGGCTTACCGAGCACCAGGCAGTCGTAGATTGCAGTTCAAGGACTGTACGATTGAGAGCACCGGATGGGGACACAATCATGATCGATGGGGAGTTATTTCCTAAGGCGCCTGAGTTTATCTCTTATATGCAAGCCAAGAGATTGGTCCGAAAGAAGTGTGAGGCATTCCTATGCACCGTGAAAGATGTACGGAAGGAGCCACCTAGCCTTAAGGATATTCCTTCCGTACGTGATTTTCCTGACGTGTTTCCTGACGAGCTACCAGGTCTGCCTCCCCCAAGGGAGGTAGAATTCTCCATTGACTCAGTTCCTGGTACGGAACCCATTTCGGCTACCCCCTATCGCATGGTTCCAGCAGAGATGAAAGAGTTAAAGGCGCAATTACAGGAGCTGCTGGATAGGGGATTCATCCGCCCAAGTGTCTCCCCTTGGGGCGCACCTGTCCTTTTTGTGCGAAAGAAGGATGGGTCTATGAGGCTTTGCATTGACTACCGACAGCTCAATAAGGTGACTGTTAAAAACCGTTATCCATTACCGCGCATTGATGATTTGTTTGATCAGCTACGTGGAGCCAGGGTGTTCTCGAAGAGTGACTTAAGGTCCGGATATCATCAGATTCCAGTAAAGAAGGAAGACATACCGAAGACAGCTTTCAAGACGCGTTACGGACATTATGAGTTCACCGTAATGCCTTTTGGACTCACTAATGCTCCTGCTATCTTTATGGATCTAATGAATAGTGTCTTTTGGCCGTACTTGGATCCATTCGTCGTGGTCTTCATCGATGACATCCTCGTTTACTCAAAGAATGCCGAGGAACATGCGTTCCACTTGCAAAAAGTATTAACCATCCTAAGGGAGCAGGACCTCTATGCAAAGTTGTCCAAGTGTGAGTTTTGGCTTGAGGAGGAAACTTTCTTAGGTCACGTGATCTCCGCTGAAGGGGTGAAGGTTGACCCGAGTAAGATTTCTGCCATAGTTGACTGGAAGGCTCCCCGTAATGCTAGGGAAGTGAGAAGTTTCCTCGGACTGGCGGGGTACTACCGGCGGTTCGTGAAAGACTTCTCCGCGATTGCTTCCCCTCTTACTAAACTCCTACGGAAGGATGTGAGGTTTGCATGGATAGACGCATGCCAGAGCAGTTTTGATCGGCTGAAAGAGTGCTTGACTAAAGCCCCGGTGCTGATCCAGCCAGAACCGGGTCGTGAGTACACGATCTACAGTGATGCATCTCTTTGTGGATTGGGTTGTGTACTCATGCAAGAAGGTAGGGTGGTTGCCTATGCCTCGAGGCAGCTGAAACCCCATGAGGGTAATTATCCGACTCATGACTTGGAGCTAGCAGCAGTTGTTTTTGCCTTGAAAATCTGGCGACACTATGTCTTCGGTGAAAAGATTCTTATATATACCGACCATAAGAGTTTGAGGTATTTGTTGACCCAGAAGGATCTGAACCTGAGACAGAGGCGGTGGTTAGAACTTCTCAAGGACTATGATTTCACCATCGAGTATCACCCGGGTAAGGCTAATGTGGTGGCTGACGCCTTGAGCCACAAGCTGATAGCTGAACTCCATATACAACCAACGTTGGATACGGAAATCCGGAATGCTCAGGAGGACGACGAGTTCTGTCGCATGACACGGGACCTTGTCTCTAGTGGGAAGAGACCAGAGTTTACTGTTGGTGCTGATGGAATCTTGTTTTTCCGCAACCGTCTTGTGGTACCATGCGGGGCCGTGAGGGAGCGGCTGTTACGTGAGGCTCACGAGTCAGCATACACTATACATCCGGGAAGTAACAAGATGTACCATGACTTAAAGGGGAACTATTGGTGGCCTGTGATGAAGAAGGAAATTTGTGAGTTTACAGCTCGATGCTTGACATGTCAGCAGGTCAAAGCCGAACATCAAGTACCATCGGGATTGTTGCATCCGCCTTCTATTCCTGAGTGGAAGTGGGAGCGTATCAAGATGGATTTCGTGATTGGGCTGCCCTTGTCTCCCTGTAAGAATGATGCTGTATGGGTCATCGTGGATCGTCTTACGAAATCTTCGCATTTCTTACCTGTTCGACGGGATATGTCACTACAGAAGTTAGCAGAGTTGTACCTCCGCGAAATTGTTCGGTTGCATGGGGTACCTGTATCCATTATCTCCGACAGAGACCCCCGTTTTACTTCAAAGTTCTGGAAGGGACTCCAGCAAGCCTTGGGTACAAAGTTAAACTTGAGCACAGCCTTCCACCCTCAGACTGACGGTCAATCTGAGCGTGTGATACAGATACTTGAGGACATGATGAGAGCATGTGTGATTGACTTTGGGGAAAATTGGGAGCGATACTTGCCGTTGATGGAGTTTGCTTATAATAATAGTTATCAGGCGAGTATTCAAATGGCCCCATACGAGGCACTGTACGGGAGGAGATGCAAAACACCAGTGTGCTGGACTGAATTGGGCGAGGCGAGGTTAGAAGGTCCCGAGCTTGTTCGTGAGACAGAAGAAAAGGTACGGATCATCCGCAAGCGTTTGCAGACAGCATCAGATCGGCAAAAATCTTATGCGAACTTGAAGCGTCGGGAGATTTCTTTTGAAGTGGGGGATAAGGTTTTTCTTAAGGTGTCACCTTGGAAAAAGGTTCTACGTTTTGGAAAGAGAGGAAAATTGAGTCCTCGTTTCATTGGGCCTTATCCCATCACTGCGAAGGTTGGCCCCGTAGCTTATCAGTTAGAGCTACCACCTGAGCTGAGTAAGATTCACAACGTGTTCCATGTGTCTATGCTCCGATGTTACCGATCAGATCCGACTCATCGGTTACCTGAAGGCGCGGTGACTCTGGACGAGAACTTGACCTATGAGGAGGCCCCGATGCAGATTTTAGCACGAGAAGTTAAAGAGTTGAGGAATAAGCGGGTGCCTCTAGTCAAAGTCTTGTGGCGTAACCATGCTGTCGAAGAGGCTACGTGGGAGACCGAGGAGTCCATGAGAGTTCAGTATCCTCACCTTTTCTGCGATGATGGTTAAGGTAATTTCGAGGACGAAATTCTTTTAAGGGGGAGAGAAATGTAACGCCTCAAAACCCGGCTTGGTATTTTTAATTAATTTATATAATTAATTAGTTACTAAGTCGGTAAAAATGAAGATTATTCTCTAATTTGCGTATTTAATATGAGAGTTGACCTACGTTGTAGGGCTCGTTGTTCTGAACCCGACCGTACAAACGAATTGAGAATCGGACTTGCTGGGCCTAAGATACGAATGCCGAATAAGGTAATTGGGCTTAAATACATCCTGACTGGTTAGGAAGTGTAAACTGGAACCTTAAATTCTATTTAATTTTATATTAAATATGAAGGGGGTTACGAGACTTACCATCCATCCGTTTTTTTTTCCGTTCGTGTCTCTGCTCTGCGTCCGTTCCTCCTTCGTCGTTCCGTCAGCCAGCAGCAGCGCCGCCGAGCTCCGCCGATGCCGCCCTCGCCGAACGCCCTAGCCGCCGTCGCCGCTCTTCCTTCCCCGTCGCACGGTAGATTCGGCTGCAACAGGGAGTGCAGCGGCGAGCTTCTCTCTTTCGATTTGGTTCCTAATTCTTCAATAATTCGAGGTGATTCGTGATTCCTATACCTATAGTTGTCATTAATTCGTAGTTTAGGATCTTGTGGTAGCAATTTTGTGTTTGATTGTGGTTGAATGTGCATTAGATTGGATTGGGGTTGTGTTGGGGGCTGTTTTCCGGCGATTCGACGGCGGCTGGCCGGTGGTGGCTACGGCCGGCGTACGGGCAGTTTCCGGTGGGTCCAATTTGGAACCAATTGGTTTAATTTGGACCCAATTGGTTAAATCAGGTTAATTCGGGTTTCAATTGGGATTGATTTTTGTGCAAACGGGTCGGTTTAGATTCAATTGGGGCTATCTGGGCAGTTGGGGCTGACCAGGTCGTGGGACCGACTGTCCGGGGTGTTGGGCCGGTGGGTCCGGCTGTTAGGCCGGCTGCATTGGGCCGTTGGGCCGGTTGAGTGGGGCTGCCTGAACGGGCAGCGGGTTGGGGCTGCCGGGTCGGTCCAGTGGGTTGTCGGCTGATCCGGTGGTGAATGATACTGCTCCGGCGGGGGCAGGCAAGCCCGAGGATCGATTCCTTGGTCTCGACTCCGCGCAGGTAAGTTGGGTTAATTGCAATTTGGGTTGTTTGATTATGCATGATGGTAATCGCGGGTCTTTGGCCCGGATAGGCCGCTACGTGACTTGTTGTGAATTGTGAACTGAGATTTAAATTAAATTGATCTTGTTGGTGTATTTTGTGGATTATGAATGATAAATAGGAATTATGCCACCTAGTATAATTAGGCAGGCCTGAATTGGATTGACTTATTGAATCACCAATAAGATATGCTAGGAAGTGGCCTTTGCGGGGCGTCGTTGCACCCCCGGGGGTCTTGGGTTAAAAACGTACGTACGGAAGTCCGCGACCTATCCTGGCATCGCAGGGATAGGGGCTTCAACCCGCCCAAAGTGAATCTCCTTTGGGTTTATGAGCTGGCCCTTTTATAGCATCGCTTGGGGTGCCATGACTCAAAGTAGTTGATGTGGAATAAAATAAGGACATGATATTCAAATGAAAGGTGTTAAAATAAATATGTTTATTTAAGCTGTTTTTTTTTCTCCGCGATCACATGCTGTTGTTATTTGTATGCTAACGTGGTGCTATTCTGTGAGTTAATGCTAGCTTAGGTATATTTTCACTCAGCAATTCGCTGAGCGTGTAGTCGTTGTTGTTTGACTGCACGCAGGTAGGAACACAGATTTTGATGGGCAACCCGGAGGGCAGTGAGGTGGTGGTGCGGCGTGGATGGCTCCTATTACTTAAATAAATAAACTACATTATTTTATTTGGTTATATGGACTGTTGGACGTTACTTTGGTTTTATTATGCTTCCGCGACGTTTGGACTTGTTTTATTACTCCGATAAATTTTGGTTTGGTTTCGAACTCTCACAGATGAATTTTATAATTTATTCTGTTGATTTATTTTTTTTTATAAATTATGCATGCGAATACCAATTTAGTAACAACCCGGTTCGCTAACCCGTTGGTTCGGGTTATGCGGGTTGGGGTGTTACACATTGGGTGCAAATGGGTCTTCAAAAGAAGACTCACATGGATGGTAAGGTGCAAACCTTCAAGGCACGATTGGTAGCAAAAGGATATCGTCAAATACATGGTATCGACTATGACGAAACTTTTTCTCTAGTTGTCATGATTAAATCCATTCGGATCTTACTTGCTATCGCAGCATACCACGATTACGAAATCTGGCAGATGGACGTCAAAACGGATTTCCTTAATGGAAACCTCCTTGAGGATGTCTTTATGACACAACCTGAAGGGTTTTGCGCTCCTGAAGAATCTACCAAGGTATGCAAGTTGCAGCGATCAATCTACGGATTGAAGCAAGCCTCACGGAGTTGGAACATCCGTTTTCACGAAACTGTCATCGGCTTTGGTTTTGAAAGAAATTCGGATGAATCTTGTGTATACAAGAAGGTTAGTGGGAGTGCTGTAGTCTTCCTTGCTCTGTATGTTGATGACATACTACTCATAGGAAACGATATTCATACTTTAACCACTATCAAAACGTGGTTGAGTAAGAGTTTCTCTATGAAGGACTTGGGAGATGCCAGTTATGCACTTGGCATAAGGATCTATAGGGATAGATCACGGAAGCTGTTAGGTCTGAGTCAAAGTACATACATAGACAAGGTCCTCGCTAGATTCAGCATGTCTGAGTCAAAACGAGGAAGTTTGCCTATGGTCCAAGGCACGAGTGTTTCCAAGACTTAGGGTGCTTCCACTCCGGAGGAAGTAGAACGCATGAGAAATGTTCCTTATGCGTCGGCCATTGGATCCATCATGTATGCGATGGTATGTACGAGACCTGATGTCGCCTTTGCTCAGAGTGTCACGAGTAGATACCAGTCCAACCCTGGCGAAAGCCATTGGACGGTTGTGAAGAACATCCTTAAGTACTTCCGTAGGACTAAGGATGCCTTCCTAGTATATGGCGGAAAAGAAGAGTTCAGTATTTCGGATATACTGATGCCAGCTTCCAAACTGATAGAGACGACTTCAAGTCGCAGGCAGGGTATGTGTTTTGTTTGAATGGCGGAGCTGTTACCTCGAAGAGTTACAAGCAAGATACTACCGCTGATTCCACTACAGAAGCAGAGTACTGTTGGAGTTGTGCCCTGATGGCCAACTATTCATCGTTATCCTATCATGTATAGGCAGATATAATATGTTTACACATCTCATGCTAAGGTAAACAAATATTATATTCCTAGATTTATATTTAAAGATATTTATCAGATAGTGTTTTTCTGCTGATGAGACTAACATCTTGAAATAAATATTTATCTAAATGTCCATAGTCGAGTATTAACGAGAGTAGGATATCGTTAATGCATGTGAGACTAGTGTGTGTTGGATGTTTGACTTAGTCTCATAGTCAATGACAGTGTGTTCGCATCCGCACATGGGCAGATATTATCTGGAGATAATAGGATGCCGGACTGACCCATCCTAAAGATGTTGCTTGAACTTTTAGTTCATGCTCTAAGCATCTTTAGCGCGACCACGGGTGTAACTATCCTTCGACTTGAAGTATTATGTTTTCTGCATATGTGAACCCGCATACTTTGATGCATTGTCCTAAGCCNTGAAATAAATATTTATCTAAATGTCCATAGTCGAGTATTAACGAGAGTAGGATATCGTTAATGCATGTGAGACTAGTGTGTGTTGGATGTTTGACTTAGTCTCATAGTCAATGACAGTGTGTTCGCATCCGCACATGGGCAGATATTATCTGGAGATAATAGGATGCCGGACTGACCCATCCTAAAGATGTTGCTTGAACTTTTAGTTCATGCTCTAAGCATCTTTAGCGCGACCACGGGTGTAACTATCCTTCGACTTGAAGTATTATATTTTCTGCATATGTGAACCCGCATACTTTGATGCACTGTCCTAAGCCATATGAAATAAGGATGGTATACAGGCTTTGTTTTGGGTATGCCGTAGCGCGTATTCAGAAACGTAGATTACGTACATAGTATTTGTCACTACTCTTTTTAAAAGAGATTAATGTCTTATGGGGCCCACTGATAAGTTATGATTGAGGAAATTGCATGGCCATGCTGAGATGTTTTTATGACGTCTGTTCCTATTAGTCAAACTTGATAAATCAGTGAATGACTTAATGGATACAAGCTGGATTTTATTAATCCCTTGCATTAAGTCTAGACATTGAGACAAAGGGATACAGTTACACGGAGTTTGAGTCGTGGAAAGGTTTTGACGGTGCAAACGTCTTAACTTATAATATGGGGGCAATAATGTGTTGCTAGATACCGCTTATTGCTTATAGTATTGGTGCAGAGCCAATACTGTGGCCAGCTTTATAAGTGCCTATACGGGTCACACACTTTGGACAATTTAAGGAGTAAGATTAAACAATGAGATAATAAGTAATTTGTATATTTGTAAAATAGTAAAATAAAATATTTTCGAATATAATATTATATATATAAATATTCGGTTATATATATTACATATATGTGCCGATTAATATATATATATATATATATATATATATATATATATATATATTATGTTGAATATTTTATTTTGGTTTGTCATTTTAATTATGAAAATAATTATTTTGACATAAACTATTTAAAGTATATTTGTATACTTGTTTAAAATGATATTGGTATTTTTATTTTATTTAAAATTAATTTTATATTAATTTTTGGTGTCAAATAAAATACACTTTGAACATTTAAGTGGAGAAGAATTTTGAAAATCGTTCTCACTTTCTCAAATCAAAACTTTCGGCCATGATGATTTAAAAGGATCAAAAATAAATCATTGACAAAGTGGAGTTAATTTTAACCTTTAGCTTAATGACAAATTTTAATAAATCACTTTGTAATCATTTTTTGATTACACGGCACACATTGATTATAAAGTGGGTATGTGAAGATTTTTTTAATCAATGGAATGGTGTATTTCGGCCATAATATTTTCTAGTGAAATAAAATTCTTTTGTGTTCCATTAATATCATTTTGTGTATAGAAAATATCAATAATATTTTGTAAATATTATTAGAAATATTTTCTATAGAAATATACAAGATTATTATTATCCCAAATTTTAATCTTTATATTTTATACTACTATAATCTTTACTAGCATAAAGATTGTGGTAGACTCCGGCGTTGTTCGTGTGTCAAAGTTGGAGACCGGACGCTTGAACAGTTACGTTTGCACTTTCAACGCTCTTCCTACGACTTCTTCGTTTTTACCGCTTACGGAGAGAGGTATAAATTTCTTATTTACTACAAGTTTTAGTACGTGATTCTGGGCAAGATAATCATGTTAGGATGTTAAAAATTTTGTATTCCGCTGCCTATTCTTGCATGGTTACTTTTCAGTGGTATCGGAGCCAACGTACAAAACTATAGTTTTACGTTTGACTTTTAAAATTTTAAAAGTCAAAGTTTTAACTTGGTAATTATTAAAACTCAAAATTGGTAAAATGATTTTATTTAGTCTTGGAATAAGTATTGGACTTAAATAAATCATTGAAAATGAATTTTAAATTTATTTATTTTTATTTCTACCCGTAATATATATATATATATATATATATATATACATATATTTTGATTTTTCGAAATATATATTTATATATATTGTAGAAATAGTAAATATAATTTTATTTGGACATAAAACATAATTTTATGATTGATAAATTTATATTGTAATTTTTGAATGCATTATTTCCTATTTTGAATTTATTGTATTTATTTAGGTGAAAACCGAAAATAAATATGGGAAAATTCAAAATGAACTTTATTAAACTTGGAAATATTATTTCTAAGTTAAATAAGGTTGGTGATAAATATGTTGTGCAAAATAATATTAGTTAGTAATTAAATAAATATATATTTATATATGTACTCGGTATTATTACCGAAATATTATATATATTTATATATTTGTATTTTAATGACATAAATGAATAATATATATTTTTTAAAGTTATATCTCAGTAAGAAAAAGAATGTTTTTCAAATTATTAAATTTTTATAATTTAATATTTTCAAAAATAGTTTAAATAGCCTTTTATAACTTATTGAGATTTAGCTAATATATTTTGGAAATAATGATTTATAAATTTTGGAAATTTTATTTCCTGGTTTATAAATGTTAAAAATAACTCCTGGAAGTTGAAATTTAATTTTCATGATTTTTGCAAAATGGTTTTGAAATTTTATTGCCTTATTGAAAATAATTTTGCAAAATGGGCATTTTGGTCAATTGGAATATTCTGGATTTTTTTTGTGCTGACAGAATATCTAGAATGCATAAAATTTTATTTTATTAGATTTATTTGGACATGTAATTTAATTTTATGAGTTTTAGAAAATATTTACTGCCGTAGTATTTTTCTAGAACTGTCTGAGGTGAGCGCGGTTCACCCGGTGTATGTATATCTATATTGCTTGTGTGGATGTATGATATGCATGGTGGATGATTGTGGCTATAGTTTATTTGATTATAATACGGCCTGCGTGTCGTGCCTTATCTCATAAACTCTTGTTGTAGATCTATTTTTCTCTCTTACCTCAACCGAGGATTCTTTTCTCACATGGTGGTTAGAAGATGAAAAGATTTGAAGACCATTTGAAGAAATCTAAAAGAATGGAGATAGCCCGATGTCCAAGTGCCCGGAAGCCAGTGGGAGCTATCGTTTTTTTTTCTTTTTAGGGGCCACAATCATTACACGTTTATTTACTGCGTTTTGTGAATGCATGTTGAATGTATGTTGAACGCTAGTAATGGACATGTGCGCGGCCATGTCGATAGGTGAGATCGAAATTATAAATCCCTCACGAATATTAAGTCTTTTGCCTTCTGATGCCCGGCACCTATCCGGCTAATGTGCACTGTCATGTACTCAGCCTCAGCAGAGCATGGTACAGTGTATGTTAAGCTGGTTACGGGAACCGCCATAGCGTGGTCATTGTCGCACGTTGGGTTAGACTTAACTGAGTCTCGGTCAAATAGATGGACGACTCAGAGGCAGTAAGTTGGGGTCATCAATGACAAGTCAGATGATTTTACTCACTCATCCAGCCAGGAGTTGGATCTTTATGATTTAATTGGAACTCTATTCCTAACCAAAGTAGTCTGCTTGTAAGACGTGCCTCCGCCAATTACAAGTATGGTGAAAAGATGTCCTGGTCCGGTTGTAGTAATATTGTTCGCCCAACACTAGACCAAGAGCTGAGAGCCCGGCTCATCAATTGGAACCATGTTCCTACCTAAATAGTTGTCTTGTGGAGTAACGCCCAAGCGGAACGCAAGATAATGAAATATGGATCTTGGCCCACTAGAGGTTTCGCCGGAAATCTCCGAATCAATATCGAGGGTTATTGATTTGTTAAAAATAGTGGGAGATAATTAATTAAAGGCCTAATTAATTATTAAACATGATAGATAACCTAGTTTGCAAAATTTTCTGTAGATGGCAAACAACAACAANCTTAGGGGATGCTAGTTATGTCCTTGGCATAAGAATCTACCTAGATAGATCAAGAAAGTTAATAAGTCAGAATCAAAGTACATATATAGATAAAATACTTGATCGATTTAGCATGTCTAACTCAAAGAAAGGATCTTTACCTATGACACCTGATATGCTTCTGCAATTGGATCCATCATGTACGCCATGATATGTACTAGACCTGATGTCTCATTCGCTTTAAGCGTGACTAGCAGATACCAGGGAAGTCCAGGAGAAGCACACTGGACAGCGGTCAAGGACATCCTCAAGTATCTTCGCAATACTAAGGATGCATTCCTGGTATACGGTGGTGAGGAAAAGCTAAAGGTGGTCGGTTACACTGATGCTAGCTTCCAAACCAACATAGACGATTCAAAATCACAAGCAGGATATTTGTTTTGCCTGAATTGCGGAGCTTTTAGTTGGAAGAGCTTTAAGGAGGATACAACCGCCGATTAGACTATAGAGGCTGAGTACATAGCTGCTGCCGAGGCAGCAAAAGAAGCTGTTTGGATCAAAAAGTTCATTACTGAACTTGGAGTGGTTCCTAGTATTAATGACCCTATCTGGTTGTTTTGCGACAACACTGGGGCCATTGCATAGGCAAAGGAACCGCGATCTCACCAGAAAACCAAACACATTGTACGACGCTATCATATCATACGAGAAATCGTAGATAGAGGAGATGTGATGATTTGCAAAGTAGATACTGACGACAACATAGCCGATCCCTTGACCAAGCCTTTAGGAAAGCTAAAGCATGAGGGTCACACTAGGTCCATGGGCATTCGACCGATGCCAGATTGGCCATACTGTAAGTGGGAGATTGTTGGAGTTGTGCCCTGATGGCCAACTGTTCATTGTTATCCTATCATGTATAGGCAGATATAATATGTTTACACATCTCATGCTAAGGTAAACAAATATTATATTCCTAGATTTATATTTAAAGATATTTATCCGATAGTGTTTTTCTGCTGATGAGACTATCATCTTGAAATAAATATTTATCTAAATGTCCATAGTCGAGTATTAACGAGAGTAGGATATCGTTAATGCATGTGAGACTAGTGTGTGTTGGATGTTTGACTTAGTCTCATAGTCAATGACAGTGTGTTCGCATCCGCAAATGGACAGATATTATCTGGAGATAACAGGATGCCATCCTAAAGATGTTGCTTGAACTTTAGTTCATGCTCTAAGCATCTTTAGCGCGACCACGGGTGTAACTATCCTTCGGCTTGAAGTATTATGTTTTCTGCATATGTGAACCCGCATACTTTGATGCATTGTCCTAAGCCATATGAAATAAGGATGGTATACAGGCTTTGTTTTGGGTATGCCGCAGCGTGTATTTAGAAACGTAGATTACGTACATAGGATTTGTCAGTACTCTTTTTAAAAGAGATTAATGTCTTATGGGGCCCACTGATAAGTTATAATTGAGGAAATTGCATGGCCATGCTGAGATGTTGTTATGACGTCTGTTCCTATTAGTCAAACTTGATAAATCAGTGAATGACTTAATGGATACAAGCTGGATTTTATTAATCCCTTGCATTAAGTCTAGACATTGAGACAAAGGGATACAGTTACACGGAGTCTGAGTCGTGGAAAGGTTTTGACGGTGCAAACGTGTAACGCCCCGAAAATAGGCCTATCAGAATTAATTAATTGATAATTAATTAATTACTAAGAAGGACCCCAAAAAAATAAGTGAATTATAAAGTTTGTCAATAATTAATGAAAATTATATTGTTGTGTAGAGTTTGACTGTCTGACCCCAACGGTTCAATCGGATTTCAATTTGGAGAAAGTTGGACAAAAAAGTGTACCTTTATTCTTTAACAAATCATGGTATACATATTCATACATCATACAAACATCATTCATCACATCCAACGTACTCAAACAGCGGCCTAACACTGGGTATTGACACCCATGTTTACTGTCATGCAACACATAATGTCTTGGAATAAATCCTCGACGTAAACGAAGAACTCGACCTGTTCAGGTACCTCACGGTACCCTTAGCGGTAGGGGGTACAGACCCCACGGTACCAGGGTCCCGTCCCACGGTACGTGGGTACCGTCTGTGTAAGCTGTGATAATCAACCATTAGGCCTGTCACGGTAACCTCTACCGACCCGACGGTAGGGCCTATCGTCCACCCGGTAGCGAGGTACCATTTGGTGACATGTACCGCCAGAGCAAAGGAAAACAGAGTGGGTGACGGTAGGCGGGTACCATGTCGACGGTACTTGGCTACCGTTTGTCGCGGCAGAAACCAGACTTGCATCAGTTCCAGTTCGTCCAACCAAAACAACATTGTATACATAAATTTCAAGCATTAACAGGTTCTAAATCAATACCCAAACATTAATTAACATCCCCTTTAACAATTCTAAACTAATTCATGCTTTTCAAACCGTATGCGACAAAAACAAGGCATAATTCGCGCAGGTTCAAGTAGATCAACCATAACTGTAACGCCCCGAAAATAGTCCTATCAGAATGAATTAATTGATAATTACTTAATTACTGAGAAGGACACAAAAATAAGTGAATTATAAAATTTGTCAATAATTAACGAAAATTATATCATCATGTAGAGTTTATCTGTCTGATTCCAACGGTTAAATCGAATTTCAATTCGTAGAAAGTTGAAACAAAAAGTGTACCCCAACTAGGACCAAAATCAGTCCTAATCAAGGACTACACACCAAACGGCGCACTGTTCAATTACGCTGATTCCAAAATACGAATCACCGCACAATCACGGAAGCAACCCCAAGCCTGTGTCTTCTTCTTCTTCACTGGTCTATTTAAGGATAACCCATCTTCCTCATTTCTTCACCAAAATATACAATTCTTCCTTCTATCCTGCTGCTCTAAGTGAGGAGAACACACTCGTGCTGTCAGCTATGTGAGAGGTCGCCAGAGTAGAGACATATAGTCGCCGGAAGCTTCGCCGGAAAATCTTCAAAACCTGTATTACACTTTGAGGTAAGCCCGTAGATATATCTAATGACTAGAATGTTCATATAACTCGTTTTTATGTTCATAATTTGTCATTTGGTTGAGTTTTGGGTTTGACATGCTTGAAGAACTAAGAATCATAAACCTTGAATTTGATGTTAAAACTACGAATTAATGACTCTAAAATGATTTGTGAACATTGGAGAACATTTGAATATAATTTAATTGAAGTTTGGTGATTAAAAATGATAATGTTAAAACTGACCAGAGGAAGAAGATGATGAATAGTGGCCGAAAATCGATTATTTTCTTACTAAGAATCAATTAAAACTATATTCAGATCAGCGGTTCGAAGTGAGTACTAGTTAATCGATTTTTCTGTTCAAATGATATATATATATATATATATATATATATATATATATATATATATATATATATATATATATATAATCGATTATTTATATTATATAAATCGATTTTTTTATAAATTAATTGATTATTTTAAATGAAATCATCGATTTTCCTCAATTCCAGATCCTGCTCCGGAATTGTTCCTGAAAATATGCTCTATAATCCTATTTTTGATACCAATTAATTATGAAAAATATAAATATGATTTTGTTTAATAAAGATGACTTTTTTGGCATATAAAACATTATTTGATGCATGACGGTAAGTTAGAGTGTTAACACTCGAAACTAGACCGCTATTTGCTATCGAATGTTATGTTAATTGATCATTATGATGAATAAATATTATTAATGATTATGAATGATGAACTTACTGATTAGAATAATTATTTATGACTTAATCATAATTAAAACTGGATATATTGATTATCATAACGAAAATGTACTGTTAAGGGTATCTAGAACAACTCTAAGATATACCCATAGTGAAGTTGATTTTGAAAGGTATCTAGAAGAACTCTAAGATATACCTATTTAAGTTAGGCCTTGCGGGTATGATGCCCGGTGGCTAGGATGGGATCCAAGAACCAAACTTGAGTACCTACTTGTTTGGGGGTACCACCCAACCTAACAGTAAACACTACGCTGTCGGTTTTTGGTTGACCTTAAGCGAAGGTAAGTTTAAGATTTGGAAACTCTTTTAAAATATATATCTTAAACTAGGCCTAGCTTAAGGATTAAAATATCTTGAACTAGAATTAGTTTAAGAATGAAATTGGCCTTAGACTAATGTTAGTTTAAGGATATTGTTGAAAATGAATGATGGATATTGAATATGAATTATGAATGTTTGATATTGAAGGATGAAAGTTGAATAATGAATAATTGAATTGAATTTTACATGCATGATATCAAATGGTTCAATTATGAATTGAGATTCAATTTATGTGGATGTTCAACGCTTTAGATATGCTTACTCAGCTTCACTGTTGAGCGTGTAGTGTGTTTTATTTGCTACACGCACGTAGACAAAATGAATGATTGGCTTATCCTAGAAGCAGAAGGGGCGAGACAGTCGTGGTGGATTATTGAATGAAATGTGTTGAAACACGGGTTTATCGCTTTTTCGTACTAAAGCTGTGTTCGTTTTTATGACAGGTTTTTCTAATGCCAAACCGCCGTGAACAAGACAAGTTGTTGAATATACAAGGCGAGAAATAAATATAAGAAGAAAGAAAGAGAACAAGAGCTAAAAGAGACCAAGAACGAAGACCGTAGTCTTTACGTCGTTGAGTCGGTCACAATGTGATCAAGACCGACCCAAGCTTTGCACTTTGGCTCTTTAGGCTAAAACATTTTTTATTGCATTTTACATGCTCAAACATATTAAAAACACTTGGTGTTCGACCAAACCAAAAACCAAGCCATCCGGGGTTCGGCTTTCGGAAACCAGCGTTCGGCTTTCAGAAACCAGCCTTCGTCATTCGGTTATCGGCGTTGGTTTTTGGAGTCCGAACCAACCAAGTGGTTTTCAACTTTTTATGATTGGTTTTTACTTCTGGGCACATTTAAATAGTTTCCCATCAAAAACACTTCAAAAACCCCCTTTCGTTTTTTGTCGTTTGATAAAAACCATGCGAAACAGCATAAACTTGGATAGCCGTGGTTTTTACTTAAATGAAGTGGTTTTCGAGTCTTTTTGTGTGGGAATTGTTTTTGAATGCATTTAAATGGTTCTCCAATCAAAACATCATGAAAACCACCTTTCGGTTTTGTCTTTTGGTAAAAACCACCCGTGTACGGCACTGACTTGGTAAACCGTGGTTTTTACCTTAACGACATGGTTTTCAACTTAAAAAGCTTGTTTTGACATCAAAATACATTAAATAAGTGTTTTATATACTTAGTTTTTACTTTGGAGAACTTTGCATTTTTTGGTCGGGTTTTAGTGCCGGTCAGCTAGGCCATGGTTCTAGGCTAGCCATCTACCCAGCGATGGTAGATATCACCCATCCATGGGTAAGTGATCCCGGGATTCCAGAATCATTCCACCCAGCGATGGGAGATATTACCCAGCGATGGGTAAGCAGCCTTCAACCCAACTGATTTCCAGAACCATGCCAAACAGCGATGGGAAGTTCTACCCATCGCTGTTTAAGCCTTGGTCCAACATTTTCACAAGGCAGTATGCCCTTACCCAGCGATGGGAACCTTTACCCATTGATGGGAACCCAGCGATGGTAAGGATAAACCATCGATGGGAAGGGATGACTGTTGGAAGTCATTTAAGGTTGATTCTTTCCTTGTTTGGAAGTCAACCTCCCACCCAGCGATGGGAAGCTTGTACCCATCGATGGGTAGGTAACCGTTGGCTTCAAAACTGAAGGAAAATTGGCTTACCAGCGATGGGTAAGTTCCAAATATCGATGGGAAGCCAATATCATGCAGATCCCAAATTTATTCAATCCCATAAATCAAGCCAATCACCCCTTTAATGTATTGGTCCGTTGGAGCCTATTTTGGCACTATAAAAAGGGGTGTTTGGGTCTGCTTTTCTCATCAATTCACTTCACTTTATTCATATTATCAGTGCATCCAAACAACATTATTTTCCATAGCTTTCTAGAGCCAATTTGTGAAGTTTGAGTTGTTCTTGAGCGTATATAGTTTACTCAACATCTACTCTTAAGGAGAGTCTTGTTCTTGAGTGTTCTTAGTGTTGTAAACACGTTTAGGGAAGCTTGTTTCCCTTGGTTGTACGAAGGAAAGGTATTTTCCTTCGGGTTGAAGTCTTGGAGTGCGGTATCTCCGAGCAAGTGTATTGAGGCTCGTGGGACTCGAGTTCTCAAATTGTAACGATTTGTTAAGCACCCGTAAGCTTAACGGAAGTAGTGTAGCTCGAGAGAGTCTCTCGGGAGACTGGACTAGCCACACGTTGTGGTGAACCAGTATAAATCTTGGTGTGCTCCCTTTACTCCTTTTTATTCCGCTCTTTCCTTTATCCCTGCAATTTTTATTCCGCGAAAATTTATAAACATTCTTGTGCCTCACTATTCACCCCCCCCCCTCTAGTGAAGGGCACTTATTCTAACAAAATGAATTATTATGTTGTTATGAGACATGTTTTAAAGTCGCTTCTGCATTTTTATCAAACACTCCGTATTTATCTACATTTATGTATGAAATATTATTTATAATGAATAAAGATGATTGAAATGTAACACCCGCCTTCTGCGGACCCGGTTCACCCGCGACCCAACGGACCAGGAGGGTTACATGGGCGGTCTGAGAACCGTCCGTAGAGAAAAACGCATCAATGACTATTTATTATGAAAACAGTTGTGTTTTAATTAGTGAAATAAATGCTAGGGAGTTAACCCCATAACGTGTGTGATATAAATGCAGAGTAAAAGCGGAAGTAAATGAATGAGTAAAACGACAAATGGTGGGTTCATGCCCAAATGATTAATTAATTAAATGTATTTAATTATTGAACTTGTCCATGCGCCGCCCATCATCCCACCATCATTGTCCTCCAGGGTTAGCACCTGCACCGTCATGTCTACCTACGTGTAGCAAAAACAACTACACGCTCCGCGAAAGCTGAGGAGTGAATCTAACAAAAGAACATGAAGTGATAACCCATATGGTTATACACATGTAAATACCTGTACTTAACGTACGGAAAACCACATGTTTGCTAACTGATTAATTTGCACTTGATGGATATTATTACACATAACAAAATGAATAACAACCACATTGAATGTGGACATGATGGGAATCATACATGATGATCACAACCACATTGAATGTTGACGTGACATGTAACAGACATGATGACGATATGACTTGATGCATGATACCCCTGACTTAGTCTCACTTGACAGGATCACCCCTGCACTCCGGTAATGAGCCGGGCTCGACAAAACGTCGCAAGTGAACTAGCAAAACTGGGTGGTAGCCGTAGCCTAACTACCATGTACGTACACAAAGCCCACCTGATGAAAATCCGTTGGATCCCAAAGGTTCCTGGACGGGCCCACTGTAGTAGGCGCACGAAAGCCTGACCTCCCTACAGCGGTATGCACATGATGATGAGCCTAGGACATACGTCTACGATGAACATGATGACATGAATGCATTGATTGAAGAATAAAGTTAAATTTAACGCATACATATGGGTTTGATTACAATTTGTTCAACATGATGGCCTTAGGTTCAGAACTGGCTGATAATCGATTGTCTACTGTTGATAATCGATTATCATGCTGTGCAGCTTCTGTCCCCAAAGTCCTGCAGACTGTGATAGTCGATTGTCACCCTATGACAATCGATTGTCAAGTTGGTTTGTCAGAAAGTCCTAAGTTCAGAGAGCCCTGATAATCGATTATTGCCTATGTGATAATCGATTATCGGTGAAGCTAACTCAGACCCAAGAATCCGCAGGGCCTCGTAGTCGATTATCACATATGTGATAATCGATTATCACGCTATGTTGAATCAACTGAGGAGTCCAGCGTGGCCTGATAATCGATTGTACTATTCTGTAACTCGATTATCAAGGCAGGCTGACTTCCATTAAATCTGTTTGTTTGTCATCAAAACGTTGGAAGTTTTAGAAACGAATGTTTATATTTCCATGCTAGATAATCGAATAACTTACAAGGTTTCAAAACATTTATATTAACAAAAACATAACTTGATAACATGGACACACATATGTTGGATGGTTAACCCACGAACATGCATAGTTTCTACGTAGGTTGCGTACGATATTCCTAAGAATATAACAACTTAGATTATGACTTGATGTTCTAGAATTAGAGGAGACAACTACTCACCTCTAGTTGAAGGGGTTGACGGAATGATATGACGAGATGAACGAATGGATGATGATGAATGAACGACGAATGGTTTCTCGTGGTCACCTCCTTCTCTTCTTCCTCCTCGTCTACTCGCCGGAACTGTCTCCCTGGGCTGCTACTGCTTGCCCGAACAAGAGAAGGGAGAAGGGAGTTGAGTGTGTGAGTGGGGGTTTGTTTTACACTACCCCTTTCACTTCTCTCTTCCGCCCCCCCCCCCCAAATGTACCTCTTGTACTTACCCCTTAATTACCCAATGATTTCCCCTTAATTTCTCTCTCCTCAATACCCTCTCCTTCCCACACCGCACCCTTTACTCCCCTTAATTTACCCCTCAATAGAGGGATTAAAGATGAAGCAACATATTTTAGACTCCTGAACGGTACGCACTTTTCCCCCCGAATGGGTCCGAATTGAGTTGCGTTTGCGTTTTTGGAATCAGACAGTCAAAACGAATTTAATGACATGTTCAAATAATTTTTCTAGGAACTTTATTTTTAAACTTCCGGGTCCACCCCAATCATTAATTAATTTATTTAATTAATGTTGAAAGGTCCATTATTAAAAGATCTTTTTATAATAAAATACATTAGCTTTGGAAAGCCATTTAAAGAGATCGAAATCTCAATACTTATTAATTTAAAATAATGAGTCTCAATAAATAAATAATATTTATTTATTTAAAACTAGGCCGGTTTGTAGGGCGTTACAATTATCTCCCTCTTAAAGGAATTTCGTCCCCGAAATTCTCTCCAAGTCACCGTCACGTGTTTAGGGAGATAGTGCGTTACCCAAAACTTTGTTTTGTGAAGCATACGTGGGCATAATAGATTAAAGACCAATTGACGAATTTCATTCAAGGAACATATTTGGTTTAGATAAGTGGGACGAAATGTTGCATTGATTACGGCTTCGACTATGTCATCATTTAGCAGGCAACCCACTCCCACTCGCCTAGTCGGGCTGAGTCCACTGGAGGATTATCCCCACCTGCGCCGCAGATGCTATTAGCAGAGTCCACGCTGAACGTTTCCTCTGGGTCATCTCTTTCCCATGCTGCCTTCTGGCGCTTCCAGATTCTTAACTTTGCTATCCGAGCCTTGCGGTGTGCACGTTGGTAGCGCTCTTTTGAATCGTAACTTTTCCTCTTGTTCTTTCGTCTCTTACCGAGCACGAAGGTTCGACTGGAGTGAACGCTTGACACGCTTCCGAACTGATGGTACTCATCTAACGATCGTACAGTATCAAAATGGGGAACAAGTGAGCGTATAACGCAATTAGTATGACGCTTCGATGTGCGCTCACGTGCTCTGGCACTCCTATGTGGATCTACCTGTCCGTCATTACCTACTGCTTGGCTCATTCTCTATAAGAAGAGCTTAAATCAAAACTAATTACAATATGACATATAAATGAATTAAATAACAGTGTACCTTTCCCTGGAAGTGAAGTGATAGAAGATGCGGCTGTGGACTTTTTGAATATACTCTTTGACCAAGATGACAAAATATGTTTTTTTTTGTTTTTTTCACAAAATCGAACTGCTCTGATACCAAATTGTAACACCCGCCTTCCGCGGACTCGGTTCACCCGCGACCCAACGGACCGGTACGGTTACATGGGTGGTCTGAGAACCATCCGTAGATAAAAAACGCATTAATGACTATTTATTATGAAACCGGTTCTTTTTAAATTGGTGAAATAAATGCTAGGGAGTTAACCCCATAACGTGTGTGATATAAATGTAGAGTAAAAGCGGAAGTAAATAAATGAGTAAAACGACAAATGGTGGGTTCATTCCCAAATGATTAATTAATTAAATGTATTTAATTATTGAACTTGTCCATGCGCCGCCCATCTTCCCACCATCACTGTCCTCCAGGGTTAGCACCTGCACCGTCATGTCTACCTGCGTGTAGCAAAAACAACTACACGCTCAGCAAAAGCTGAGGAGTGAATCTAACAAAAGAACATGAAGTGATAACCCATATGGTTATACACATGTAAATACCAGTACTTAACGTACGGAAAATCACATGTTTGCTACCTGATTAATTTGCACTTGATGGGATATTATTACACATAACAAAATGAATAACAACCACATTGAATGTGGACATGATGGGAATCATACATGATGATCACAACCACATTGAATGTTGACGTGACATGTAACATACATGATGACGATATGACTTGATGCATGATACCCCTGACTTAGTCTCACTTGACAGGATCACCCCTGCACTCCGGTAATGAGCCGGGCTCGACAAAACGTCGCAAGTGAACCAGCAAAACTGGGTGGTAGCCCTAGCCTAACTACCATGTACGTACACAAAGCCCACCTGATGAAAATCCGTTGGATCCCAAAGGTTCCTGGACGGGCCCACTGTAGTAGGCGCACGAAAGCCTGACCTCCCTACAGCGGTATGCACATGATGATGAGCCTAGGACATACGTCTACGATGAACATGATGACATGAATGCATTGATTGAAGAATAAAGTTAAATTTAACGCATACATATGGGTTTGATTACAATTTGTTCAACATGATGGCCTTAGGTTCAGAACTGGCTGATAATCGATTGTCTACTGTTGATAATCGATTATCATGCTGTGCAGCTTCTGTCCCCAAAGTCCTGCAGACTGTGATAGTCGATTGTCACCCTATGACAATCGATTGTCAAGTTGGTTTGTTCAGAAAGTCCTAAGTTCAGAGAGCCCTGATAATCGATTATTGCCTATGTGATAATAGATTATCGGTGAAGCTAACTCAGACCCAAGAATCCGCAGGGCCTGGTAGTCGATTATCACATATGTGATAATCGATTATCACGCTATGTTGAATCAACTGAGGAGTCCAGCGTGGCCTGATAATCGATTGTACTATTCTGTAACTCGATTATCAAGGCACGCTGACTTCCATTAAATCTGTTTGTTTGTCATCAAAACGTTGGAAGTTTTAGAAACGATTGTTTATATTTCCATGCTAGATAATCGAATAACTTACAAGGTTTCAACATTTATATTAACAAGAACATAACTTGATAACATGGACACACGTATGTTGGATGGTTAACCCACGAACATGCATAGTTTCTACGTAGGTTGCGTACGATATTCCTAAGAATATAACAACTTAGATTATGACTTGATGTTCTAGAATTAGAGGAGACAACTACTCACCTCTAGTTGAAGGGGTTGACGGAATGATATGACGCGATGAACGAATGGATGACGATGAATGAACGACGAATGGTTTCTCGTGGTCACCTCCTTCTCTTTTTCCTCCTCGTCTACTCACCGGAACTGCTACTGCTTGGCCGAACAAGAGAAGGGAGAAGGGAGTTGAGTGTGTGAGTGGGGGTTACAAAATGTGATGGGGAAAGTGAAGAGAGAAGGCGGGGCGGGGG